TATATATATACATAAAAACATATATATATAAAATATATAACTTAGAGCTGTATGACTTGTAAATTCAGAAAGCCACTATAGTCACACATGGCTGAAGTGCTATGTATCAGTCACATATTAGTTTTTTGACAATTGCTGTACTTGCATGACATACTCTGCCTTCAGCAAGCCACAATTATAAAATCTAAATTCCACGTTTAATTACATAGTGGGATATTATCATTAATACTAGAAAAAAATAATAAAATACTAGTTTTATAGCATTAATTTGGCATTCTCAAGGCTCTTTGCAAATGTTAAATCTCATAAGGGCTCTATGAAATAGAAGAGTATTCCATTTTCTAGATGGAGCTGAGCAGCAGAGTCTGCATTTCCAAGGCTATGTCAATCTAATAGCAGGCAGCTTCTGAACTAACCTGGTAGAAAACGGTTTTCTTTTAAATAGGTTAGTTTTTCTCTTGATTTAGTACACTGAAATGGCTCAGCAGAAGGTCCAATGAGAGTCAAAGCCAGTGGCAAGGAGGAAGAGAAAGCACATGCTCTGGGTGGAGGGCCGCATCCAACAGTCAGATTGGCTTAGGGTGCCATGGTACCCCCAGCCACAGATGAATTGATTACATCTGTTTGTGTCACAGCTGACAACGCAACATGCAGTTTGCTGTCACCCTTGCAATCAAGCTCCTCCTACAAGCAGACCTATCACACAACCCCCCAATTTTAATCTACTGAAAAATTTCTCTCTTGTAAATACCATCTCTGCTTGGCTACAGCTCTGATAAGCTGTAGACTTTTCAAGCCTCAGTATAACCTAGATTTTGCTAGACATGACACAGAAAACAAGACAGAGATGAAGCCTGCAATAAGAGGCTTAAGAGGTTTAAAAGTAAGAATAAGATGTTTAAGAGGTGTTGTAGTAGCACCACTGAAGTTTGACAATGATGAAACATTAGCAATTTAGCAGACAAGTCAGAATTTTGGGGATTCGCTGACCACCACTAGCAAAGAAAATTTCCTGGTTTACGTATCTATATTAATAGCAGACAAAACAAACAGATTTGCCATATTATACAAATAATTCAAGCAAGTAGTTCCACTTACCTGATGCAATAACTGATAATCAAAATTAGGGACACTTTTATCTCTTGTTATTGTTCTCCGTAAATGCTTTGCTCTAAAAAATATTTCAAAGAAATTAAATTTAACCAAGTCTTTCTACAAAAGTCTCAGTAACAGAAAATCCACAAGGTGGCCCTATCTCAACACAGAAAGGCATTTGACATCTCAAAATGACAGCCTACTAGTATTTCCTCTATTTTATCACAGAACATACATAAACGTTTAAAAAGATCATAGGCAAAACCCAACCATTGAGTGAAGCACTAAGATAATATGTTTAAAGCAGTCTAGCTCTGAAATTCTTAATTTATGGTACACCAAGTATTAGCGCAAAAAAATTTTAAACAGGTTTGCAAGTACTCCTTCATCAGCCAGCTTTTCCCTCCTGCTGCACAGCACATCACTGCTGTTCACCACCAATGTGTATGTCATGCCTACATCATCTGTCTAGTGACATGAACGTGCATGCCTTGGAGGATTAAAATCTACTGTCAAATTAGTCATATGTGATGTGTGACAATGCTTGACCCGCTTTTGGGTTTTATTAACAGTTGTATGTTTGTTCGCTTATGGGAAACAATAAACGTACTTCTGAGGATGCTTCTATGCTTACTTGTTAAATCTGTTAATTGATTGGACCAGTTGAAGTTGTCTGCTTATGGGATCATCGGCTTTCTCACATGGCTTAGAATTCACTAGGGGTTTAAAAGAACAGGCAGCTAAAATTACAAGAGTCACACTTAAGAATTAAAAAAAACCACAGTTCTGAATAAAAAGTGGTATCTACTGACATTAGATTTAAAATTTTACAGTAAAACTCTAATAGCAATAACTTGAATCAGAGTCACAATTTATCTTTGGAAATTTTAAAGCATTTCAAGTCACAGGAGTAAGCATTCTTAATCAGATTAGCATAACTGGCCCAGCTTCTGAAGAGACCATGTCATTCTGGACTTTGAGGCCCTTAATTCCGATCTTTACAAACCTGAACTAATTCACACACAGATGCTATACCATGTCTTTGTTAATATTACTTACTAATGTCTTCTATTGTTCCTTTATAACTATTCCCATATTGGAAAGGACTAGATCAACCTTTGGCATCATCATACTGTGATTAATTTTGCTCTTCTATTAATGGAACATTCACAATCTTTCCTAGGGAAGCAGGCAAGAGTGATTTTGAAAAGCCTAACTAAAACTCATGGATGCTGAAATGGGCACTCTTGCTCCTCATCTTCCCTAATTCCTGCTCACACAGCCTCACTGCCTGAGTATGCAGCAATGTCATGAACATAATACAAAGTCTGCTACATTTAGTTACAGTATTTTAGGTGTTACCTGTAATACACACACAAAATAGTTGTGTGTTCTTTAATTATACCTCAATCAATTATACAAAATATTTGATGTAGTCACACATGAATTCGTCAATCCCTTTTTATTCATACCAGTGGAAACATGGCATGTACCTTTTTTTCTTATCTTGATAGCAGCATGCTGCTCACACTCCTTTTCTCTCTCTGCTGATGTAGGTACATAAGTTGGTGCTGTTTCCAGCAACTTAATGATGTTTGAATTCTTAGTTTTAAAGTTTCCATTTTCACCATTATTAAAGAAAAAGAAAAACATCAGTATAATTTAGGATTCTAGTCTATGCGGAGCATGTTAATTAATTGCTGCCTAAATAAATGTAATGCACACAAAAATATCTCATTATAAATACAAACTTTAAGTTGTATCATTTTGAGTAGGGTCAAAATCAGTGTTCCACGAGTTGCACTGTACCAGAGTGATGATTTTGTGGTCTTGACCTATTATTTTAAACTATGTTATTGACGGTTAAGCTAATTTCAGTTTAAATGGTAATACACATACTAAAATTGATTCCATACAGAATTTTGTGGTCATTATGCTACATCTCAGAGGCTATTTGAGCACATAAAGATAAGGGACCATGCATCAAATCATTTAAAGAGTGAAATAATTCTTTATAATTTAATATTACATATTCTGTTATTGCTGTTAATAAAGGGGAAGGCCACAGTTATTGATGACAAGATAAAAGGTATCAAAAGGCACGAAGGGCAAAAGACGGTGGATGGAACAAGATTGCTAGCAGTGTAACTCTTCAGTGAAAGGTGTTAATTTGCCTACATTCAACATTTCTTCTGCTCTCTCTGCCATTACTAGCATAGATTATAACGTCATTTTCATTCACATATGTGCTTTCACTCCTCATCCTGTTTGTCTAGGATTTTAGAAACATAACAGGTTTCATGTACCACAGATATCATATTGTATGTTGTACAATAAACAGGCATCTTAGTCTTTTAATCATACATAATTGTTAAATACAGAAGTCTTGGCAAATACTGTTGTGACAAATAGTTCTATTTGTTTTCTTTCCTACATTACGCATATGGAACTTTAGGAAAATCTAACCTTAGAAATGATCTTTCTGCACTTACCGGCTCAGCACAGTCTGCAGGGGTACAGTTCCTTTCGTTCCTTATGTGCGTCATTGCACCATTCTGAAGTAGCAAGTCCACCAGGGCTTCGTTCTTTCCTATCACGGCCTCGTGCAGTGCTGTATTTCCTTTGGCATTAGAAAGGTTAACAGAAGCTCCATGCTGGACAGCAAGATAAAATGGAAGTTATAAAGACAGAGAATAGAACTAAGAAATACTATCCTGAACATTCTGTTTTCAGTGATCTTACCTCTAACAACAAGGCAGTAGTCTCATACTGTCCATTCAAGCACGCATAAATCAAAGGAGTATTTCCATATATATCCTTTTTATTTTGTTTAGCATTGTAATCCATCAGACACTTTACCACCTATTGAAAGAAGTAACAACTCTTTAAGATACCAGCTAAAGATATTCATGCAGTGAAAGTTCCCCTCTTTTTTTTTTAACATTTTTTTGAAATCTGGAATGAAAAAGAGATGAAAGAAAAAAGGATGGAGAAAACAACTCATCTTTGCCAAAGAGATGATAACTACAAGCTCCTATTCCTATCATACTAATTTTCATATTTTACCACACACTTTGTTAAAAAAAACCTTAAGCAACTGGAAGAAAGGCCAGAAAATAAAACTGGAGGTATGTGAGAAACATACATAATCAGTAACTTAACAAACCATCAAAAACAAACCACCATAGCAACAGTATCCTTTCCCCATTCTGAACTCACCAGAACACTTGGAAGTTCTTTATGTTGTAAATATCCCATGAACTAACTTTCATTAACCTACCTACAAGTTTGAGTTGTATTCTCATTTTCTTCTTGCTTCCCTAGTGCTTTGTCTCCCCATCATCTTCACAATTCTCTTATTTTTTTTTCCTCTTGCAGTCCTCAGCTCCTTATTCTTAAAACTCTAGTTTTCCACTTTCCTGCATATTCCTGTTTGCCTGTCTGCACCTGCTTTTTCATGATCATTATTTTTCTCCTCTCATTTACTCTCCCTCCTGTATTAATATCCTCCCCTCACTAGCTCATGCTTCTCCTTCACTGCTTATGCTTCTCTGGCTTGAAGGCAGGGATGAGGTCTTCTGCTACTCTCAGGGCTCCACTTGGCTCATAATCTACTTAAATGAGTTGAAGATACAGTAAATAGTTAATACGGTGGCTACTGAAGATATCAAGTCAAGATATCAACAGATGTACACATAACCTCCTTGAACAGAATGGGCAGAGAGAAAATACATAGGAAGATTCAGCTGCACAAGGTATTTTTAAAGTGTTTGATGTGTGACTAGCTATTTGCAGCACTTTCATTAAATCGTTATTTCAGGTCATTTAGAAAGAAATGGTGCCTACTGAAACTGTTTCAGTTGAAAGATCTCTGCCCTGTCTCGAGGTTTTAGACATTCCAAGAAAAAACACAATCACCAAACTAATTTTCACTGTTACTGGTTTAGTCTTGTTGACAAATTTGTTGATAATTTCACAAAACAGCTTTTGTTGGCGGTTAAGTGTTAAATAGCTTGCATTTATGAAGAGGCTCAGTTACCTGGAAGTGACCTTTCTGGCAGGCTAGATGAAGAGGAACTGCATGTTTTGCATTCTTGGCACTGATACTGGCTCCACGTTTCAACAAGAGAGAGACAAGTTCAGAGTGTCCATGTAATGCAGCCATATGCAATGGTGTAAAACCATCTTGGTTTGAAACATTTACTCCAAGTCCATTAGCAGAAATCCTTGCAAATTTCTGTTGAGGAAAATACACAACAAATCTATGTAATTAATCATGCTACTTTCTGTTGACCAAAAAGCAGACAAATACCTGCTAAGTATATACAAAACAGGTAGATTGACATTATAAGAACTTCTGCTAGAGAGCCTAATTTGAGACCTTCAGGAAAAGAGTATGTAAATCAGAGCAGCTTGGTAGTATTTTTCAACAGAACAATGAGTTTTATTTTTCTCTCTTTTCTTCCAACTTGATGGCTTCATACACAGAAATCCCAGGCAAAGTATTCATGATATTAAAAAGAGGCTAAAGCAGCACCAGGTTAAGATGCAGGTAGAAATTACAGGTTTTATATAGCTGTTAGGATGTTCATACATATAGAGAGTAAGTGTAAATATTATGAGTTACTTTCATTTATACAGGCATTTATGCTCTCAGAGACAGACACTATACACCCATTTTACTGCCACATGAAGCTCAAGGTAATAAGGAAGGATAAAAACTAAAATCAGTTTTATTCATGTGGAAGTAACACTACCCAGAGAACAGACTCCCATTGGGAGGAAAGGTCAGGAAACTACCTGGAAGACAGCTTACACAGCAATACAGAACATCCCTTTTTACTCCCCTCACAAACTGTGTAGGTGCCTAACATTTACAGCGGTAGACAATCTTTCATTCTTCCCATCCTCAGCGTGCTCTTAAATGTGTGTCTACCTAATACACTGGTTAATATTAGTTAAGAAGTTCCTTCTACTTCTCATTCAGCAGGCAAGTAAATTCCACAGCGAATGCCATTCCTTCCCCTTTTACCAATAAAATGAACTTTGTGGTCACAGGCTCTGACATCTGTAGCACATGATCTCTGTACTCAGGGTACATGGACACATGTTAGCAGAGAATAAAGCACAGTGTGAATGTGAAGCATTTAAGGACAACTGGCACACTGTTAGCCTGCACAAAATAAACCTAAGGTTTTTGTCTCAGTTAAGTAATACAGATACTGTTACCTCAAAGCAGCCAATACACTGAAAATTTATACTTTGGTTTATTTTGCAATGACTTATCCAGTTATGTATACCTTCAGACACAGTAATACATTTTCTTTCTGAAAGGCAAGTAATTGGTTTTCTATTTCCAATAAGCTGGGATTATTACTTTTTTTTTTTTTTTTTAAAAAAGCATATTGCAAAGCCTGATTCTTCTCTACAGTCCATGATTAATAAGGGGAAAGGAAATCTTTGCAATTGAAAAGAAAGTCTTTGCAATTATATTTAATCTCTGAAGAGGTTTTAGACATATCTTGTATGAAAGATGTCATGCAATTTAAAAAAGACTTTATCAGCATTACATTGATTATCAGATTAGCAGGTATTTCTTGCTAAACTGATTACTAACAGATAAGTAGATACTCTGTGACAGGAATGTAAACTATAAAAGAGAACCAGGAGAAACTGAGGCTTAGAAAAAGATTTTTTTCCTATTTATTCAGAGTTGTCCAAACCTTAATGACAGCAGTCTACCTATTCTAAAAGCAAACTGCAAAGTTTTTTCACTTCATTAGACATTGAGCAAGTCTTTCAACGCTGTTCCTGTATCCAAAATTTTCTACAGTTCAATGAAAAAGAGAACAATTTCAAGACATCATATGAACTCTGTGAAGATCTGTATATATTTAACTGACTTTTAGACAGAGATACAGAGGTGTTGGGCAACATGAACACTACTTCCCTAGAGCTAGAAGTTACATTACAAGAATAGAAATTATTCTTTTTACAGAATAAATATTCCAACCTTTTGTGCTGGCCCACATTTTGAGCACTGGCATAACGGATGACAGAATTCCGGTTTTGATGTACTGACTGTGTCGTCCTCATCTTCTAAGTCTTCTTCCATCCATTCCAAGAGATAACGTACCTGGCATAAAAAGCAAGTCCTCCTTTATGGAGTCCAAAAGTTCCATGTCTAATAAATTGTCATATGCAGACAAGTAAGATTTCACCAACATACACTTGTATCTCAGCTACCTCCTGGCATCAGCTGCCCACAGGCCAAATTAAAAAAAATCAAATGTTATTGTTGACAAAGCAGCTAGAAAGTTCACCAAGTATGGCAGTGAAGTAAATTATAAATGACTTCCTGCTGCCTAATCAAGACTTCAGTGTTCACCTATTCTCAAACCCTCCAAATCCTTTTAGCCTAGATGATTTGTGCCAGCTTATATCAATGCGAATTTTATTTCATCTTTTGCTTTAAGGAACATAAGAAGTGACAAGGATGATGACATTTAACCAATATCCAAAACTTTGCAGGGGCACTGACTTTTCTTAGGTCTGTCACTTCCCAGGAGCTTGACAGTTTCACTTTTTTCCTCAATGTACAATGCCTCGTTTTTGAGGGAGAGAGAGGTCCTTCAGTGAAGACAGTCTCAGGACTCAGAGCATTCATGTGCAATTTGCAAACAGTGACGCTTACTGCATGTTAATTTTACATTAAATTTTATACAACAACAAAAAAAAAGCTGTTTAAGAAATACATTTTCACCTTGAAACTCATTAATCCGCTGTAAACTAAAGAAATCTTAGAACTAGCTGTGACTATTAAATCTCCATTATTACACCATCTGGCAATGTCAAGCCTGACATCTAGCTAGTGTATCATTCTGAGTTTGTATTATGCTCAGAGACAAGTCTTTCAGAAACTCAAGACAGAAGCAGCAATTAAATTGGCCTCATAATGCAAGGGACAATACATTAACAGTCTTTAGGTGCATGAAAACTGCTAATATCACAGCACTCAAAAGACCGGAGGAAGGTCAGGGCACTTGTGCTGTATCTCCCAGACACAGCAAGTTACAGGATTACATAGTGTGTATAAAGCTGTGATACATGTTATCCTGTGAAGGGTTTTCTTTTTACTTTTTTTTTAGCAGCTTTCAAGAGAGCTGTCAAAAGATGTATCATTGTCTTATTACCATGAAGAAAGATGAGCCCTTTGCCTCCCACTGAGGGGAGTGGCACGGAGCAAAATTGAGGAACCACCTTCTGCCAAAACTGAGATAGAACCTTCTTTGCTGGATTGTGGGTTGGGTTTGATGCCGCAGAACCAGACCGACCCAAGAGCTCTACAGATGCTAGTCAAGACAAGAATGGGGAGAAAGGAATTTCCTACAGGTTTCTCCCACTGTATTTACTCTCACACTTGTCAGCAAGTTCTGCTTCTAACCATTAAGGTAGCTCTGGGAAACCAAATACTCATTAATTATCTATCCAATTAAACAGATGCAGCTAGAATAAATCTTAGTAAATCTTAGGAAACTAGTAAGGGCTATATACCTGCTTCTGAATGATAACACAACTGAGATAGGAAAGGGATGTTCTTCACAGAGAATAGTACTTTCTCTGCACATTCCACATTGTTCTCTGGAGTAAAAGGAAATCCTCCTGAAGCTTGTTTACGGAAGGCCAGATCAATGAAGATTTACTATTTACTACATTTGTTACATGTCTAAAATAAACATTACTGTCACTTCACTTCCTCCTTTCTCTGCAGACTGACCAAGATTCTCACAACTGACTTCTCCTTCTGTCACAACTCAATACCGCTGCTTTCGTTATCCAAATACACAGCTCTCAACATAACAATACCAGTGTCTCACCAAAAATCTGAACATGCTACTCCCATGCATACCTCTTTATAATTACAGTGGAATAGCTTTTTTGTTGTTGTTTTTAAGGGTTTTTTGGTCAAAAGGTTAAATGTACTTCTAAGCAAACCTGCACTGAAGCATCTCAGGGAATTGTCCATGATCTCCTTTTGCCAGTTAACTCACCATGTTACTCACCTTTACATTGCAGAGTAACACATTTGCTGGAATATTTAGCAGGGCCACCTTTCTATACATATATTCCGAAAACACTGTTCCAAAATATTTCTTTCTCACTATAGACTCAAAAAATTTACCAAAGTGGGCTAAATTTTATTTTCAAAATGTAGAATTAGTTGCCATTGAGTCAGCTAATTAAAATAACTGTCATTGATTAACATCATTATCTCCAATCTAGAGCATACTTGCTTTTGAAGTTTGTGGGTGCTACGATGATGACAAAGGTTGTTTTCTGGCTTACTGAACAATCACAGCACAATATTATTTGTTTTTAATCTTCCAGTTTCATAGCACTTTTTTTTAAATGCCTCCTCTTGCAACACTCAATTGGCTGTCACAGCAGAAATCTACAACGGCACTAATGACCGTGCTGCTGCTTCTGTTCCTATGGAGACAGACCTCAGGCTGTCAGAACAAGATAAAGAGTTTTTAAATAACCATGGTTTTTAAATAGATATGCAAGCTGTAACCTTTGCCATCCAATTGGACAATTCTCTTTATAATGAACAGTTTTACATGAATTTGAGCAATGTGGAAAGTAAAGCCACAAAAATTACAGTGATTCTGTCATCTGAATGCATAGATTAGATTTCTGTGTGCTTATCACTGCTGATATCTGTTGAGCAGTGCTAGATATTAATTTTCCAGCAAATTATAGCACTATATTTAATTTTCTTTAAATATTTTCATGGTGCAGTTTAGATTTTCACGAAGTCGGTGAAAAGTTAATTGTAATACATTCATGTTTACTACTTGCCAGGAGAGTGGTAAATATCACCATTGTATATATTGCTGCTTCTTGAAATGACTTAAGGGCTGACCTGGAAATAATTACTAAGATTAAGTTACATTGTAAATGAGGATAATGATATTTACTTAACAACTGAACAGTTCTTTTTGCTATCAGTCGATAAATTATTTTGTTTCTATCATCTAACTGGAATAAAACATGAGATAATCAATATTAACATGGTATATATTTTGCCACAAATTATCTATTTTACTATGACCATGTGACGCTTCATTAGGATCTGTAACTCCTGGTACCTATCACCTAAACAAATTTTTCAGAACATGCATCCAGCAGAAAAACCCTGCATTCTCACATTGATTCGTGATTTTGTTCTGTGAACTACAAAACAATTAAGAAATGTACAGCCTTATACATCTTTCCAAAGACAAAACTTCTAAAGATTTCTGTGTCATCTTCAATTTTTCAGTAGAATGACATTGGAAGCACCTTATTGTTCAAATTTTCAGCAATAAAAGGGCAGTAGTAATTTCACTATTTGAAGTGAAATCCAAACTACAGTAAAGTTGTATTGCCTTGAGATAACTTCTCTGTACTGAATGGTATCACCTACATTTCTTCTCTGTATGAAATATTAATAAAAAGGTATCACAATAAACAAAATAAGACCCCATTTTTAATTTATAGTACCAATGCACAATTATTACATGGAGTAAACACACAGAAAAGAGCAGACGATATTCAAAGCATTAGAGAACCTGGCAATTTAGGAATCAAAAAGCATTTGTGGATTTAAAAATACTGTATTACTGGAATGCTTCCTAAGTAAAAAAAACCCCCAAAAAACCCCACAAAACAAAACACAAACTGTATAACCCATCATTCAATTTCCAGAACTGGTGCACAGCACTGCCACCTGAGCATGTGCATCAATGCACATATGGGAAAAGATACGATGTACTTCTGTAACATAGGAACAAGCAACTTGGAACAACACTTTCTATTGGATTTGCTGTCAAAAACCAGGTTTACCTGAAAACTCATCTGTTTTGCCTTTTTTGTTTGTTTTGTGCTGACTGCATATCCAATCCAATATTGTGACCTCAGTATACACATCTTTTTACAGTTCTGCAATGCACCATGCTCCCCATCTAACAACAGCATTTGATAGCGCAGTTTGAGCACCTGCAAGCAAATAAATTGCTCTTTCCCACAGTATTTCTTTTCAACATGCCTGCCTTGAATGTTGTTCTTCCCAAGTTCTTTGCATCTCCTAGAGGTGGCTATGCATACATTCTTAAATGATAGGCCTTCACAAAGGAATTATTCAATTTAAAGTAATTTATTTGGTGCAACAGGTCACAGAAATGTCAAAATAAGGGCCACTGAAGCACTGTAGGTATAATAATTTCAGGATGTGGAGTGAATATTCTTTGAGAAAATGAGCTGAATTTGATTAATTGTTGCTGAAGGAAGGTATTACCCAAAACATTCTTCCCTAAATATAATTTACAAATAAATTCCTCAATTTGAATGAGGTAAATTGGAATTCAATAATATTCAACAGCCATGCTAAGACTCACCATTTCCAGATCTCCATCAGCAACTGCTCTGAGGAGTTTTTCCACCTATGTATGAAGAAAATTTATTTGCTTTGTTAGTATTGGTATTAAGCTGTACACAGAAAATCCTGTGTCCTTCACTAACCTCCTAAAGCTCATGTGGCAGGATTGCTGCTGGCCCATGTCATATTTGTTGATAAAGTTTTAAAGGAAAAACCTTCTTCCTTTATGAAACAAAAGCTGTGCAAGGCCTGTGGCTATTTGATGGTCTCTGACTTGCTTAATGATAAACAGTACTTACCTAAATAGAGGACATGCAGTCCACACATAAGCAAAGCCATGTAAGCTGATAACGCATTATTATGCCACTTCAGCAGCAGCTGACTGTGCATTTCTGTTGTGAACCTAACACTAAAAATCCCTACTCAAGACAAATTTCTATCCTGACAAACACTAGTACTGTTTGGCCTCTTGCTGAGCTACTATAAGCTACCAGAAGCACAAAGAATGGCAGGTTTTATTGTGCGACTTGAGAAACAACAGTTTAAGATGAAAAAGATGCTTTCCAATTGTTCACTTCACATTTGCAGATTATCTGTTTATTCCTAGTTAAAAAATAAACATGTACAAATCTAACCTGACTGTAAGTATGAAATTTGTGTTCTTACTTAAAATCTGAAAAGATACAAATATCAAAGGGTATGCATTAGCAAAAGCCAGGTCTCTTCAACTCAGATAGTTATTCCAGGGACCAGCAGTAGACCAATGAAGTATGTACATGCTCATGGCCAGCTAATGCCTGAGCACAACTGCTTGAATGTGTTTATGAACTCTGGGGGGGGGGAAAGAGGCAAGTGGGGGAAGAAGAGATGGAAGGTGCTCTGCAGCACACCGATGCCATTCCCCTGATCCCTCCGATTGCTTGTGAAAGCAGGAGAATGAGATGTACTTGCCTCCCCGCTTCTCCTCTGATTCTCTACTCTCAAATGAAGGAGTTGAGATCTAAGCTTATAAAAATGGGATAGGTGCCAGTAAAAGAGCAGGGAGAGTCCATTAATACTATCAATAAGCAACTTGTCCAGCCTCTGCAGATTGTTGAAGGATCATTTAATAAGCTTTGTGAAAGTCTGTTTCAGCATTATAGGAAATTATGCTCCTGCTGTGCCATCATCACCAAAGATGCTGCTGTGTAAACAAAGTTGTTTCAATGTTAAGAAACATCTTGCAAGTTGAAGATGTCACGGAGTAACAGCTACAGTCACGTTTCAATCTTTATCTAGAAATGATCACCTTGCTGACTGTGACAGTAGCGTTTGGTAAAGCAAACAAGGAAGAATGAGACTAAAATGGAGTTGTGTTTTACTGGTCTGATCTCCTTCTTCAGGGTTTTAGCAGAAGAATGGGACACATCTACAGGTGAAAGATCAGAGGTTAGATTATATCTCTCCATCCATTTTTATCTCTTTTTAGGAAAGTTGCTAAGTTTTATTTTATTACTACCTAACACAAGGTGAAGCTCCTTGAAGTCATGCACTAGGTGCTCAAGTCAGGATTCCTCTTGCCTAACTTTGAATGACTAGAAGTTAGCTGTCTAAACCTAAGCCAGTCCTTTAAACTCCCTCTCTGCTAGCTACAGAACAGAATGCAGTCAACAAATGACACTCAAGTGCAACTCAGGCCAAACTAAGCATGTCCGAGATTAATTCTTCTATGGAGGTACCGATTTCTCTCCACTGACTAAGGAGGAAAAATAGATGCCTAAAGTTAAGACAACTGCCTTTCAGACATCTGAATTTAGGTAAGCTGAATCCCAATCTCTACACATATACATCTAAAATTGACTATATATACTAGGGAGATATGTGCCTCCCATAAATTTCCCCTACTTGTATAGAGGAATGTCGCTGGAGAATGTAAAGGTCTGGATGACTTTCAGAAGCCTTCCATCTCTTATCACATACAAGATGCCTAACAGTAATAGCAAGTGACCCCCAAGCTCTGATAATTTCTTTCCAAAAATAACAACTTCCTTACAGTTCTAAAAACTGCCTCAGGCCCTAGCAGTGGAGAAGCATACAACATCTGTTAGGCAGCTTATAGATAATTTATTAAGAGTACTTAGGGCAAAATGTCTGTTACATGCATTTCCTCATCTTTCCAGTTTGCTTTCTCAGTCCTCCATGGAACAGAAGTACCTTACTTTAAATGTAAAAATAGATGAAAGAAATCTACTGCAATTCACTCACATGCTCAGTTTTTCTGTTGCTGAACAAAAATTGTGCAAGTAGTTATTAGTTCCATCAGAGGAAGCTCCAAATTTACTTGCCTGGCTCTTTCACTCTTTTCTAAGTTGTAAACAAGCCACATACAAGACATACACCATGACTGGCTCATTTAAGCAAAGAGTTTAATCCACCAGCAGCATTGATTAATAATGATCTAACTGCATCCCCTTAATCCATGCTCTAACCTTGATGTCTGGAAAACGGACCTTATCAGCTTCCCATTGCTTCCCGTGGTGTTCCCTTCACGGAGCTCTCTCAGATTAGGCCCTTGCCTCTTTGCTTGGTAAGAGTAAGAGCAGTGAGCCCATGTGAAACTTGGCAAACAGAAATGAACTAAAGCTGGATTACAGCAGAAGGTCATTAACCCCAAGAATCTAAGGTGTAAGCTGCTTGTAATCTTCTTCCCTGATTTGAACTGCAGTCTTAGCTCTTGGGTGTGATAAATTTGTTCCTTTAAGGAAAAATAAATCCTCAATCTATGAGGTGAACTTTTACGCACATTAGACTTTACTTAGAGTGCTTGACTCTACAAACGGGGAGATACAGTCCTACACTGAGGCTCTCTCAGACCAACTGATAATGAAGTAATACTGTCCAGTCAAACTTCACATCTTTGAGTTTCTTGAACATTTTTAGAAAACAGAAACTTCTGGCAAGAGAAGAACCTTCTAATAGCAGGAAAAGTAAGAATTTGAATATAGAGATGGCATGGAGAGAAACAAAACTACTACAGAGGTCAATTTGGAAAAAATGGAAAGGGAGGACTGGGGAAAAAATAGAGAAGCATCAGAAGGAGTGGTGATATGATAGTCTTAGGAGGGGTAAATGGAAAGCATGGATCTGAGGTCCCACATGAAAAAATTCAGAGGACGGCATCTTGGTTGGTGTGGACAGAGCAAAATCAGCAAACACATACGATTCTATATGTGCAAGATATTTAGCCTATAGCGTACTTCTTCACATATTACAAAATTGATTTCCTATGCCTATTTTGAAAGCTTGTCTTGACATTCTAGTTTGTTAAATTGTTTGCCAGTATGCCTGTAGTAGTCTCTTTTCCCTGACAGATTTGGTAAGCTAACAATGGCGTTTAATTCCTGGACAGGACAGCAAGGTCCTTGAGGCACTGACTGCCATTTTGGAAACTCAACAAATTCTCAAATTATGTAGTTTAACTACAGTAAATCTGAACAACTACTCCAAATACGCTTTCAATTTTTCCCCAGAAATAACCAGCAGAGCAGTTGATACCATACAAAAGTAAGTGTTTAGATGCTGAGATGACAAGCACCTGAGGATCGCAGCATATAATTTTCCAAACCAGACAGGTGGCTATTCCTGAAGAAGCAGTTTAAAACAGTGTTGCAAAATATCACTCTTCTAGATTCCTTCACTTTGCTTATTGTCAAAACTTATATCTCGGTCTTACCTCTTTATAACTATTTTTTACTTCTTCTTGCCTTATATCAGTTGATGCTGATGACAGGCTTGAGACAGATGATCCTCTGCTGAAAGTTTCTGTTGACCGCTGAGGAGACCTAAGTGGTGACTTAAAGTTGGCCAAAAAAAAATCAAGAACAAAACAAAGAAAAAACAGAAAATGTTACGTATCAGATTAAGCAGGTTAAACATAAGCAAAAAAAAGTTTAGCAACTTGCACTGGTTGTTACCTCAGAAGCACTCTGTCCCCTTTCAAACGTTAGATAGTTTAATTCCATCAATGACAAAATCTGCACAAAAATATTAATAAAGGGAACCAATGTAATTCCATGTAAAAAGGAATCTGAAATGTAAATTAGCTGACAACGTAATATTAGTAACAGATCGCGACTGAGCAGATTAAAAGTACCCATTTACATGTTTATGTTCTATACCATAGACTGTATTCATGCTATTAGATTTAAAATATAACCCTTCTTCATTAAAGGCAAACATACATTTTCACTTTAATAGCACAAGACCACAAAATCCTATTAGCAGGTAAGCATCTACATCTCTGTGGAACTGTGTCAGAAAGAAATCAGGTGAGAAGATAAAGAGAAATACCTTGGAATTTAACGCACACTGTAGGGAAGTCTCTTTCATCCGGTTTTGAATCTCTGGATTTGCCCCATTTTGCAAAAGCACTTCTATGATCCCTTGATAGCCCCAACGAGCAGCTATATGGAGAGGAGTATCTCCCTTTTCATTACCAATATCTAGTCTACAGGAATGCACATCATAGTAGACTAAAGCTTTGACACACTGGAAAGAAAAGGAAAGCTATCAATAAAATATAGTATTGTCTCTCAATTCATATAATGTATGTTATAATGTTAACATATGAGGAATCCTAAAAAGGTTTTTTTCATTGCTGCTTATATCCATTGTGTAAAGGGCAGGCTTTTACGGTTCAGTGTCATTAAACAGAGTTAAATAACTCCACTAAATTTACACAATATTACTATCTTTAATGTGAATGCATAATAAAAATTGCTTTGAACTACTAAATAAAGTCCTAATTTACAGCGTTAAATAGTTAGCCTCCAAATCTTTTTTATTTACTTTTTAAAATATGTAAGTTTAGTACAAATTCACAGCACAGTTTAATTCCGTTCCATTAGAATGTCCATTTACTTTGTTACAAAATAATCACTTACATCCTCATGACCATAAGTGCAGGCTAAATGAAGTGGAGTATTTCCATTATTGTCCTGAACATCAGTGCTTGCCTTATAGTGCAACAAGAGAAGCTTAAAAGAAAAATAAAAGTAGACATTTAAGTAACTAAAAAATTAATGGACAAACAACTGTTACTCTGTAGATTCCTTCAGGTTTCCAGTATGATGAAGCACTTCATGAAAAACTAGCTACGTCTCTCCTTTTCAGATACTACCGTCTTGGCATTACAGTACTGGTTTTGCCCTACCCTAAGAACCAAATAAAAGCTGCCGCTTACATATTCAGAGTTGTCATTGAACAAATGAATCATCTACTGCAGCAAACACTGCTATACATATACTACATGATAATTTAACCTATGTTTTAAGAGCTTATGTAAGTAAAGACACAGCTCAATTTCAACGTTGCTAACTGAAGAATCTCACGTATATAAAATTCAAGTACACAATAATTAATGTAGTTACACAGTCTATCCTAAACACAATGTGAAGTCATTTAATTCATTCCAATGACTGCAATGGTGGTTCTGTCTTAATCGAATGCAGAGATGTTAACAGGCTATTCAATTTGACCTATGTGTTAGAGATGTGTGTTAATAAAAGGGAAGAATTATCAAGCATGCATAGCTGTCAATTGCTTGGTTATTACAAATATCTGAAAACATTGCAGTACAGGGAAAAATAAAATATCTTGCAAACTACAATGATAAAAGATCCTCAATTCTGAAAGCATACACAGTTCCAGTAAAAGCTTCTCAGAAGACCTAAATGATAGTAACAGTAGAACAGCTTAGTAAGAGTCGTGTATTTATCATTTGGGTTCAGTATTTCCTTTTATTTCCAATTAAGCTTTTTGGTGCTTACTGTAACATTTTGGTATCCCTTCTGACAGGCAAGGTGAAGTGGAGTTGAACCATGGTAATCTGTAGCATTGACAATGGCTCCTTTGGCTACTAGTAAATCCACTAATGATGTTTGCCCTTGAAAAATACGCAGACATTAAAAAAAGAAGTAAACTTTGCACAAGAACATTGCTACCTTTCAAATTCAAACACGTATTATAAACTGAGATATCCTGAATTTCTGCGTACTATGTTTCTATATACTGTATATTCACTTCCTTGGCATTTGGATTTTTTTACTGCAGATTACTCAAGGTCAAAGCTCCATAAAACAACTTCCAGCTAAAAGGAAGCTACGTTTGTATGATATGAGTAAGAAAATAATAGAAAATAAAGCCATGTCACACAAAGCACTCTTGTATATCGATTCAAGATAATAATAAAACCAGGAAATTATTTATTAAAAAAAAAAACCTCACTAAGAAATTAATGCATCTTCTAATAAACGTAAGATCAATGGCATAACAAACATTACAAGACAGGAGATGGTACAGATCTACCATGCATAGCCAGCTGCAGGAGAGAGAAAAGATTAATTTCTCAATTTGCCAGTTGTTTAAAACAAGACTGGTTTCTGATGACACATTTTTACTTTTTTCCACACCTGAAGAAAGAACTGCTGTGGCAACCACCAAGGCAAAAGTAAACAGCCAGCAAACAATAACTTAGCCATAAGAAACTGAGCTTAAAAGAATATACAATAACTTCAGTCTGTGCCAAGATACCAGTTTCCACAGCAAATGAACAGAAAACAATTTAACGCAAAATTCACTCTTTAATGCAAAGTTGGAAAACACGCTAACACAAAGATAAGAACCCCAAAGAGTAGAAAACCCTAGTGAAGAAAACCAACATTACTCACCACAAATAGCTGCTATATGAAGTGGTGTATATCCCCGGTCATCTCGGGAAAATGGCGTGATAATGGAAGGATCATTCAGTTTCCTTGAAAACACAATGGTTTAAAAGCAGCTCAGTTACCTACGTAGCAGTGGTAAGGAGGAGAGAAAGAGAAAAATTGCCAAAGCTGACAAGACACTGATTTTGGAACTTTTTATCCTTTTTCCCTTCACATGGACAAATTATTCTATAGAGAGTTTTATGTTTTGTTAAGAGATGTGGTTTTGTCCAAGACAGGCAAGTTAGGTTCAAGAGAAGAAACATTTCACACAATATTTACATACATACAGCCTCCATCATAAAATTGGCTGGTTCCAAGGCATTCAGTATTCTAATATTTCTTCTGCTTTTCCAAACCACACAAATGTACACACTCTACTACATCCCAAAGTGCTACCAACTTCCTCTATAACCAAAAGCAGCATACCAAGTGGAGAAGGGTGACGAGTGGCATCCCTCAGG